AATATGGCTCGTGAAGGTAGTTTATTCAAATGGAATTTCTGCACATACATTCTTATTAATCTCATGAGCAGGTCTTCGTACTCTTGTTGTGGCTAAACGTTCATTGTCTGCCGCCGAGTTGGAAGCATTTGAGCGAGCGTACCACACTGCAAAAATGTCCATCTCTGACAGGTCTCAAAATATGCAGAATTGCGTGAATCGTATGCTCGAAAAGGATCTTCAGCTATTGTGCCTTACTGGAGTTGAAGACAGACTGCAGGTTGGCTATTTATATCTCTTAATCTGATATGTTAATGTACTTTTCTTTTGATTTTCTTTAGTTTGCGGTTAATCTTGGTTATTAGGGTTTCATTGTCATTGTCCATAAATCATACTTTCAATGATGCTTGAGAGATCCAGCCTTTTTAAACAGTTTCGTACTGCCGGACAAACCAAGCCAACCCTACTATCTTGCTTACGTTAAGGACCAAGTAACTACTTCACTCGAGCTACTTCGTAACGCTGGAATCAAGATCTGGATGCTAACAGGAGATAAACTGGAGACGGCTATCTGCATTGCAAAATCGAGTGGTCTATTCTCCAGGACTGACAATGTTCATGTTTTTGGATCAGTTCAGAACAGAACAGAAGCGCACAATGAGCTCAATGCCTTGAGAAGGTATTGGCGTTGAAAATGTTGTCATTATCTCTCCAATTTTAACAAATTTTTGCAGAAAAAGTGATGTGGCTCTTGTCATGCAAGGATCTGCTCTCAATGTCTGTTTGCAATATTATGAAGCTGAGGTAAACCATACTTTTACATTTCCTATATTCTTTTTTTTCTTCTCCATGAAATTGTCATGATGAAATAGGTGTTCATACAAATGCGCTATAGGTCGCCGAATTGGTCTGTGGATGCACTGCTGTTGTTTGTTGCCGATGTTCGCCTGAACAGAAGGCGCAAATCGTACAACTTCTACGAAAGTATCGCGCTCCACTTCGAGTTGCTGCCATTGGTGATGGAGGAAACGACGTCAGCATGATTCAGGCAGCTCATGCCGGTATCGGTATCGACGCCAATGAAGGTATGTAGCTTATTCAATCTTTTACTGTGGTTTCTAGCGTGAATCTCTACTCTCCAGGAAAGCAAGCATCGTTAGCTGCTGACTTTTCGATCACCCAATTCTCGCATGTGTGCCGCCTTCTTCTAGTCCACGGTCGTTTTTGTTACAAACGCTCTTGCGCGCTTTCACAATTTGTGATGCACAGGTAGCTAAGGAG